TGTGTAACCCTCACTCTGAATCATACCCTCTAATTCCATGTATGACATATAATCGACATCCCAACTCCAATTCATCTTAATAACCTCCCCATTAATATATTACTGAACAGGTGTCTCAACTAATTTTTTCATATGATGTATTCTCAACCTAATCTTATTAGTTTTAGCTGGCTTGAGAAAAAATTGATAAAAAAGGATTCAAATTAACAAAAAGAGAACCATGACCACAAGTATACATAAACAAAACTAGAATCATAAGAATACATAAACAGACCAAAGGTATGAGGGACCACTTACACTTGCAAAAGGACAAAAAAACATACCTTACACGATATTTTACCTCTTCCTTTCTCTCTTTTTGAGATTGTTAGTTCGTCATCTTCGTAAAATCACAAAAACTTTAAAACCTAATTTCACAAAATGGAGACTTTGAAACCTAGCTCCGTAATAACCACAAATTTATTTGCACACCTGAACGATTTAAAATTTGTTGAACAATGAATGTGAATGGGGGATTACGGATCCAGAAACTGCTTAACCCATTTTCTCTCCTTTTGACCTTTTGTTTCTTTTTCATTTTTTTTAACAATTAAAATGTGTTTTCTTTATTTAAAAATCTTTTGAATATTTTGTTAATTAAAATATTGAATTATTGTTTAAAATATTTTGAATTGATGACATGGATCTAAAGTCAAACTATTACCTTATTATTGAAGATGACACATAAGTAAAATTGGATAGAGGCCACAAAAAGACCAGAATAATTGATTTTGTAATAAAAGACCCATTATTCAAAACACCCAAACTAAAAGACCAAACATGTATTTAATATTTAAGTCTTTAATTTAACAATGGTTCATTTCTTTTACATATAATCCATCATTATTATTTTATAATATTAATTTTTAATATTATACTTATTACTCCATCATATTACTTTATCATATTTTTATAAATATTAATGACAAATTATTGTTTTCAATTTAAATACCCACAACCTAACCTAAATTAATCACATAAAATCGGATTTGATCACATTAAATCAAAATGGAGTAACTTCATTTTTGATTCAGATGGTTTTTTTCTTTAAAAAAATTACCAAACTTCACCACATACACCCATATTTCTTTGTTAAAGTTTCATTTATTGGTTTATTAAAATATTAATGAATCTTTTAAGTGCATTTAACGTTTATTTTTGTGTTATTTAATGTTATAAAATTATTTTTTGATTGACTTAAATACACTTTTAGGTGATTTTGTCATCTTAATTTTGACTTAGGCTCTAGATTGGTTGAATTGAATCCACCTTGAATGGAGGTAAATTTACAAGTACATTCAATTAAATCACATCATAATAATGTCACTTTTATACAGCATTTTAAAAATATTTACATAATATAACTTGATTAAATACAAAATAATTTTCTTTAAAAGATTAATATACCGATGTAATACTTTTTTACATATAAATCAAATCAAATATCATGATGTCATATTAATGAATTAATTTCTAAAATATCTACTTGGATAATTTATTGTGACTTTTTTAACTAAATAATAATTCAATCCATTGATTTAAATGAATTAAAATCCAATTATTAGAATTACTTGTACTCTTCATTAATGATTATAATTTTAATTGCCATGTATATTTTAGGTGTAAAAAGTTTTATATTCTCATCATATCACAATCATTCATACACATGTGGTTTTAAAAGGATTTGTAATAAAATTGAAAAAATTGAAGATATCATATTTTGATTAGAATTATATTTATAATCATAAACATATATTGAATTATTGAAAAAATTAATCAATTGAATCCAACACCAATTGACAAAATACCTTCATTCATTACAATTTGAATGAGAAGATTAGGTTTTTCTTCTTTTTCTAACATTAGTTTTCTTTGTATATATAGTAGAATATATAGTGTAGAAAAATTGCATAACTCATATTTAAATTTTGCAAGAGGTAGAAACAAGCAAGGAAACACAAGCAAAAGAAGAAAAAATCAATGTAAGATTTCAAAGAATTTTAATAGACATTTTATGATGAAAAAGTATTTTAGTAGTATTAGATTAAAACTTTTATTTAATCTATATAAGTTTTGTGCTATTCAACTAAGATAATATAGATTTTTTATTTATTTAAAATTCTATGGTATTCAAAAAAAATATATCAAAAAAAAAAACTTAAAAAGTAATTGATTATTTTTATTCTATAAAATAAATTTCTAACATGTTATACATTATTAAAAATATTTACAATTTATAATTATAAAATATCATTAAAAATATTATCTATTTGATAATCACATTTAAGATTTTATATTTTAAATATTATTAGATATATTTACCCTAATTTTATAAAAATATTATAAAACAATTTATAATTTAAATATTCAAATTAAACTACATTAAATTGAATTGCATTGAATCAAATTTATTTATTTAATAATCCAAAAATAATGAGAGAAAAAAATGTTGTGCCCTATTAAACACTTGTTTGCTTAAGAAGATGCCCCCTATTATTTGGTAAAATAATAATAATTGACCTACTCCTATATAAAATAAAAATAGAAAATAACTTTAATAAAGGAAATATATTATTTGTATAAGATCAATTACCTTAATTGTTGATTGATTTATATTTAATTTTTTTTATTTTCTATCTATACCTTCCCTTTTCACTTGCATCTCTAAAATTCTATAAATACACAACATTAATACACACAAAATAGTAAAAAGAGAGAATTGAGCGACTCTATATTAGAGTTCCAATTCACCTAAGATTCATTCATACTCTAAAAAACAGAAAGAGAGAATTGTAAGGTGCATAGAGGTAAGTTTTCTTAAATTCATATCTATATTTTTGCTCATATCATCAATCTTCATATTATAATTCTTTTTTTACTCAATCACTTGTGTGTGTTTACTTTAAATTTTGAATGTGGTGAGGAAAAATTGATCCATAAATTTTAAAAAAAGAATTGTTAAGTGCGGTTAAGTTTATTTTGTGTTTTTTAACAAGTTCGTATTTGTGTTAATTTTTACACGTGTTTTTGATATTATTTTTGTTTTAATCTATATAACACTGACACTTACAAAAAAAAAAGATGTATCCAGTGTCTGGGGTCGGACATCCTGTCAGTGTCGGTGTCAGAGTCGTGTTTGAGGTATTCGTATTTCTTAGGTGTTAATTTTTTGTTCATTCAAAGCACACCATTAACATTCTTTTGATAAATTTGGCTTGTCTATTATTAAAATTTCAAATTTGTGTTTTTGTACTTCACTAATATATAATTGTAAACTTTTTATTTAATTATTTTATTAAAATTATGTTATTTGTCTAGATATACTATACTATATTGGGTTATGGATGCATGATTTTGTAATTTTTGTTTGTAGAAAATGGGGCGTGGAAGAATAACTATGGAACTCATTCAAAATGAGAAAGCAAGAAAGACAACATTTCAAAAGAGAAAGAATGGATTAATGAAAAAAGTGAATGAATTTTCCATTCTTTGTGATGTTGATGTTTGTGTAATTCTCTATGCTCCAAACTTTGAAGGTCAAGGATATCTTGAACCGGAAACATGGCCTAAAGACCAGAAAGAGGTGCAAAGAATTCTTCAAAAGTACTATAATACGACGAGTGATAGGCGTCCTAAAATTTATGATGTTCATGAGTATTACAAAGAGAGAGTGAAAAAAGTTGAATTTGAGATTTCCAAAATACGGAAAGATAGGTTAAAGATCAAGTATCCAACTTGGGATGAGTCTTTCAATTCTATTGGAGCGGAACATTTGAGGATACTTGCTAGCACATTGGATGCTAAGCTTGATGCTTGTAATCAAAAGATGAATATGTTAAAAGGAGATTTTCAGGAGAAAGCAATAGCTCAAGAATCACACAAGGTTGATCAACTTATGAATGCTTCTTACATTGCTTCAAATCCAAGTAACTACTATAACCTCATGCAAAACATGTCTCAACCACAAATTTGCTCTCCTTTGATCAATATTAGTGAGAAAAACCTAAACTCCTTAGGTTTTTGGTCGTTTCAACCCGGACAAAGCTCGCAACCTTCTTCTATGATTACCAACACACAAGATAACTCGTATCAGGTCGAGGAGGGTAGATATATGCAACCTTATCCATATAAACAAATTGATCCTAATCAAGGTAATGCTAATGTTACTTATGACCCAAGTATCGGCGCGATGAAGAATGATGAAGCTGAAAATAATGAAAACATGTTACCATATTATTACAATGGAAACTACAATGGAAATGCAATGCAATCATATCCTGTTGCTGTGCATACTCTTCCTTATCAGAATCATCCAAACCTACCTCATGGATATCATCAACTTAATGGATTCTATGATATGGATTTTCTTCAAGGTCAACATATGTTCAACTATATGGATGGAAGGAAGTAGCTTTTAATACTTCAAATATTTATTCTAGCTTTTTGGTTTTAACTTATATAGACTATTATATATGAATTTCTTTTCTTGTTTTCAAGTGGAACATATAATTTGGTATGTTGCTTATTATGTTTTTCTTTTGGGACTGAAATTGAGTTTTGATATGTTATTGCATGCAAGTTTCCTTTGTTGATATTTGTTCTATGACCATTGCTCTAAATCTTTATCTCTTAAACTTTTACAAATTTACAATTCTAGATCAGAAAATCGAGCTAGAATCACAAAATCGAGTTAACTCGCATGTAAATTATCTTTTATCAACAAAAACAAGTTAGAATCGCAAAAACGAGTTAATGTAAATTCTTTTTTATCGACAAAAACGAGTTAGAATCACAAAAACAAGTTAACTATACTAATAGCATCAACCTTTTGATGAAACACACAAGAAACATACATTGTCTTATGCTTTACATGCAATGAACCACATTTCAACAACAATCAAGTCAAGATAATATTTAACCAACAAAACCAAGTCGTGGCGAGAGTTCACCATGCAAACTAATCACATTGCTTTGCCTTGCTCGTCCTCGGGGTCGCGAAGAGTGCCAAACATCCAATCCATCCATATGGTGTAATGACCGTAGTTATGCCGGTACGTCGTGTGATGAATGGTGTGGTAACCAGCTCCCATAATAGGCCACAATTTTCCATGTATGCAGTCATGAATATTTGCAGTCCAAACAGCTTCGATGAATAAGAGCACTAAATGTGCGATGAAATGGACTGGAACAATAAACAAAGCAAGACTGTGTGGTAATGCTTGAAGTATTCCATCAAGGGGATGAAAAGCCAAACCTGATATTGAGGAAAACAAGTTAGTTCACCGTTAAATATCTTATAGACGAAAGCAATGTTTTAAAATCGAACCAGATATTGAACCGGCTAGGTTTTTGAATCATGGTTCAACTACTTTAAACTGCTTGAACCTGGACGAAACTTCAGTCGAACTGCTGAAATAACTGAAGAGTAGATAGCGCCGGTTCATAGGTCAACAATAGAAATCACAGTAGTGTAGATCAAGATTATTGTACTTCTTAAAACCTTGGTATGACATAATGAAGCCGACATACTCAAACCGACATAGTCCTTGCAGAAAAAACGTTATCTTTTAGTCCTCTATCTCTAACTATAAGACTATCTTACATACTAGTACTTTTTCAGGTTTAGCATTGAGTTTATGGGTCCTCACATACATACTATTCAACCTTCACTTTTTCCAATCAATGAGAAACTTCTAACTCACACTTGCCACACAATAATCTCACCCTCGAGTTAGTCCGTCAATTCATCTGGCGGAAGTTTTTTCATCCACATACACTTGCACCGCCGTTGCCGCTGCATCAACGAGACATGCTGCCTTAACCATTATTATCAGGAAGACGTTCGACACAAGGAGTCGGTCCGTTTTAGTTGAACCATTAGCTCTGATACCATTGCTGAGTCATGAGGGGAGGATCATCCACGCTACGCCAAGAGATACCCCCTACTTTTTCTTTATATGACCACTCATCCATCATATACTAAACACAGTCTTAAAAAATTCTCTCAAAAATTTTCAATTTTGAAAGGGCTTTCTAACCTTCCCCCTCAGCTTCTCAACCAGGTTCCTTCCTCAATCACTATGATTCAAAAGGACTGCATTTACTTAACAGCTAAAATGGCTTTCTAATCCAAACAATAGACCAAAAGGCAAAAACATTTTCAATACTTAACATAACATGGCTATGATTTAAAAAATTTAATATAAATTAACGTAACATGACTATGATTGCTTGCAGTGTTGAAATATTGAATACTTAAAATACTCACCGGCAAATGGGGAGAGAGTATTCTGTTTATTGTAGATGTGATGCGTCGCGTGAAGATATTTGTAAAGTGGTTTTATGTCATGCAGCTCTTTGTGCACCCAATAAATACCAAACTCTACAATAACCATGTAAATTGCTAGATAACCAATGTATTCAAACCAACTAACATTATCTATTCTAGGAAAGGACTTTGTCCACCCTATTTCCGTCACGTACTCTGAAACAGTCGGAAGCAAACAGTACCAGGGCATGGCTTTCATGGCAACCGATATTTGCAAGAGCATTGCTTTACGTGACGGAATCGCATCTGCAACAATAGATTTCAATATATCAATTGTAAAACAAAACCATGCTGCCAGTGCCCGTGCTAGGTTTCACGGTGACACGAAAACTGATTTCTCATGAATCATATGTAAGTTATAAATCTCAACTTCAAGTTTGAATCTATCTATTATGAAGGCAAACCCGATTTTACTCGTTAAAACCTAACCATGTCAAAATCAATTTTATACATCTAGAATCAATTCTGAAGGCCATCTGATAAAGTCAATTCAGTAACTAACTCCAAGCAAACAATGGTTAGAGAGCACAATACATCAAAAAGAAAAACAATAAAATTCAGAATACAGATCCAAAAGAATATAATATTTCAAATCTAAATGCAAAAAATAACAGAACTATCACCTCAACTGTTAATAAACCAAAAAGTCAACCACTGAAATCTGATTCAATTTTCCACCCCATAAAACTAAATCTAAATCAATTAACCAAATACACAAAAAATCAAAGCAAAAAACAATCTTTTTTCCTAAAAAAATGTCAAAACTACATCAAGAAGATATCAGATTATCAGAGTAAGCAAAACCCATTTCAAATTAAACCCTAAAGATACCATTTTTCACAACATAACAATCAAAAAAACAAAACTTACAACACAAATTAAGCAAACCCAATTAAAATCAAACCGAAAAGACACATTTTTCAGAACAGAAATGATAAAAAAAGAGACCTTTTGGGAGAAAAACGTTGCGTTTCCAAACGTAAATAACGAAGCACCATAAGAAACCAGAGATGAAGTAAAGAAGAACCCCGCCAATGTAATTACGAAGCCATGTTTGACAGAAGCGAGGAAGTGGGACCCAGAAGTTGTTAGGCAAGAAGAACCCGAGAACAATGCGATTGTAGAAGTCGGTGTCTTCGATGAAGAATTGGCGATAATCGATTATTGGGTTTTCCATTGATGGATGGAAACAGAGTGAGAGACAGAGCACGAGGGAAGTGAGTTGTGAAAAGTGAGAGGTGAGAAAGAGAATAATGCTTGGGATGTTCTAATTTTTTTCAACAATTTTTTTTTTTGTTGCCATTTTATGAATAAAAAAAGTAAATAATGTAATGGTTAAAAGTGTTTTTAGAATAATTTTGTAAAGATCAAAAAGTGGATTTTTCATTTTTTTATAAATGAAGAATAAAATTTGATATATTTGAAGAAAAGATAATAATGAGTTAATGGGTTGTTGATTTTGTGTATATAAATTACTAAATTATTTTTTATGTGTGTATATTTTAATAATAATTTTTAATATTTAAAAGTAAAATAATACTATTATCAACACTTGACATCCAATTTTTGTCCTGATAGTTACACCGCATACACAGGTTACTGTATAAATACTGAATAGTGTTTTTTTAAAATTAAAAAATATATATTATGAATAGTAATTTTTAATAGTAAAATAAAGTTAATTAATATAATATAAAAAGTTAATTAATGATATTATGAAATTAGTTAATAAATATATCGATGGTAAAAATAATTTTCCATTAAAAAATAAAGTTGATTAGAAAAGTAAAATTTTAGTTAATAAAATTAAAAAATTAATTATTAAATATTTAAATATTAAAAATAATTTTTATTAATAAAATATAAAATATTTAATAAAGTGATGAAATTGATAGCCACATAATATTATATTGATGAAAACATTTAATTCAAAAATAATTTAAAAAATTAAAAAATATTTTTTTATATTTAAAAACATATATATTATTATTATTATATTTTATTGTTTACCGATATACGGTGTAGTTTTATTATTTACTGTAGAAATGTTATTTCTCTATTATTATTAATAGGTTATTTTGGAAAACAATAATACGTGTCTATTTTTTAGCAAGAAAAATGAATTATTTTGGAAAACAATAATACGTGTCTATTCTTTTAACAAGAAAAATGATTCATTCATTCCAAAAATTAAATAGAGTACAAGTCGATTTTATATTATAATTCATTAATGATATTATTTGGTATATTTAATTTTTATAGAACAAAATGAAGCGAGATGTTCTCTTACACAGAAATTTGTCTAAAGAGCGTATGAATTCTACTTGTATTTTCGAGTTGCTCTTGAAATCACTCAACTCACCTAAATTACTCCTTTTAAGTATCACTTTAAATGCAACAAGACAATTAATTCTACTTGTATCTCTCGTTGCGTTGGTATTTATATAAACTTTGGAGACTCTTGCGAGAGTTTTGCAAATTATGTGAATGTTTTCATCTTTTATTTAAAACTTAATTGTTCTCACTCTATATATTTAATAGTTTAAACTTTGGTTAAAATATCATCTTTATTATTAAATATGTAATTCATTATTTTAGAAAGATTTAATTTGATTTAAAAATATTAGATTAGATATTGTTGGACTTTTATAGTTTGGGTTTTGAATTGTGGTGCAAGCTAACCTAAATCTATAAATAGGAAGAAACCTTTATTTTGTAAACATTTCAACTCATTATATTTTGTAATTTATAGTTTGCAGTTGCAAGTGAAATAACAGAATTTTCACAGTATATGAACAGAGAATTCTCTGCAGAAAATTGTGCATCTTTTTCTCCAACGTTTACTTTTTTTCTTTCTTTCTGAACTTTTCTTTCATTGTCATTACGTGGGTTGAAACAATCTTGAGATCAAGATTGATTGAGTGAAATTCTCCATAGGTTGTGGTTGAATTTCCAACATTTGGTATCTAGAGTTTCAGTTACGATTCAAGGAAGGAAAATCGTGATGACGATGAATCATCCAAACGGTCACTTTCCGGCAAACCTTCCAATTCTCAAGAAAGATAATTATGAGAATTGGTGCAAGCAGATTAAGGTGGTTTTCTATTATCAAGATCTTTGGGATCTTGTGAAGAGAGGAGTAACACCGCTTGCAGAAAACGCGACGGATCAAGAAAATGTTGCATTCAAAGAATTGAAGAAGAAAGATTATAAAGCTCTCATTATAATCCATCAATGTGTAGATCCATATAATTTTGAAAATGTTAGTGATGCAGAATCAGCGAAGGAAGCGTGGGAGATTCTTGAAAAGTCGTTTGGAGGCGCAAAAAAGGTGAAAGAGGTGGGGTTACAAACTCACAAGAGAACCTACAAATTGCTTTAGATGGAAGAAAGTGAAAGTATAGCAAATTTCTTCACTAGAGTTACAAAGCTGGGGAATCAAATCAAGGTATGTGGAGAAGTGTTGACATCAAGATCAGTTGTTGCAAAGACCTTGAGGTTGTTGGCTCCAAAGTTCAACCACGTGGTAGGCGAAGCATGAAGAAGAAGAGATGTTGCTAATGGTCACAACAAGAGACGAAGAGAGATTCCAAGACCAGTGGTACTTGGACTCAGGATGCTCATCACACATGATTGGAAGGAAAGATTAGTTTATCAACATGAAGCCCTCGTCGAAGAACATGGTGAAATTTACAAATGACAATACTCTAGCAACTGAAGGTATTTGCGATGTTTTGATTATGAGGAAAGATGGAAAGAGGTCAACAATTTCCAATGTGTTGTACATACTAGACATGAAGAGTAATTTGCTCAGTATAGGACTACTAGTCGAAAAGAACTACGAGGTGTCGATTAAAGACAAGATGATGAGAGTTATCGACGCAGGTGGTAGGTTGATCTTGAAGGCTCCAATGTATCAGAATAAGACCTTCAAGATTAAACTCAATGTGATGGAACACAAGGGCCTAGCAACTGCAACCAGGAGAGATGAATGGTTATGGCATTTTTGACTAGGCCATCTCAACTTCAATGACATCAAAGAGCTAAAGAGGAGAAATATGGCTTAAGTATTACCTGAAATCGACATTCCAAGTTAAGTTTGTGAAGAGCGTGTTCATTCGAAACAACACAAGAATATCTTCAGCAAGGATGCAAGAAGAAAGTCGAAGGCAATTCTGGAAGTCATATACTCTGATGTATGTGGTCAAATCCAGGTGGATTCGATTGCAAGCAACATATACTTTGTCACGTTCATAGATAATTACAGTCGAAAGCTATGGACTTACCTCATCAAGAAGAAAAGTGTTGTGATTGAGGTATTTTCCAAATTCAAATCTATGGTCGAAAGACAGAGTGGTCGAAAGCTAAAAATTCTGAGGACTAATGGTGGTGGAAAGTATGTGTCGAAAGAGTTCGATACATTATGTGAAAAAGAAGGGATTGTGCACGAGGTGGTGCCACCCTACACTCCACAGCAAAATGGAATTGCAGAAATAAAGAACAGAACCATCATGAAAATGGTGAGAAATATGTTGAATCGAAAGCATTTATCCAAAGAATTATGAGGAGAAGCGGTTTTGACAGCAACATACATATTAAACAGATGTCCGACGAAAAAGCTTGAAGGAATCACACCAAAAGAATGTTCGTCTGGTGTAAAGCCTAACCTCAGCCACTTGAAAGTGTTTGGATCTATAGCACATAGACATATGCCAGATCAGTTGAGAAGGAAGCTTGATGATAAGTCAAATCAGATGATCTTGATAGGATATTTTTTGACTGGAGGTTACAAGTTGTTCGACCCAGTGATGTGATCATAGATGAGATTAAAGAATGGATTGGAATTAGAATGTGAAGAAATATTTAGTGAGAATCTCTTGTGAAAAACCAGCCACTGAAGTTGAAAGTGAAGTTCGACAGAAACAAGTCAGAGATGAAGCTGGCCCAAGCAGACCTCGACGAACAAGATACATTCCTGCAAGGTTGCAAGAATGTGTGATTACATCAAGTGATGTGGTCGACGAAAAAGGTGAGTTGGTACACTATGCTTTCTATGCAGATGTTGAACCAGTCAATACAGTTGAGGCATTGAAAGATTCAAAGTGGGTGAAAGCAATGAATGAGGAGTTAGACTCCATCGAAGTCAACAACACCTGGTCACTTGTCGATTTGCCTCAAGGCAATAAGACAATTGATGTGAAGTGGATTTACAAGATGAAGGTGAATCTTAAAGGAGAAATAACTCGGCACAAGGCAAGACTTGTGGTGAAATGATTTCTTCAGAAGGAAGGAATCAACTTCGGCGAAGTTTTTGCACCTGTTGCTAGGATTGAAATAATCAGATTAGTTGTTGGTCTAGCAAATATGAATAATTGGCACACATGTCAGATGGACGTGAAGTGTGCATTTCTTAATGGCCCCTTAGACGAAGAAGTTTATGTTGCACAACCAGCTGAGTTTATGAAATGAGGCGAAGAAAGAAAGGTGTACAGGATGCATAAAGCCCTGTATGGACTTAAGCAAGCTCTATGAGTTTGGAATAAGAAATTCGACAGCTTCTTAAAGGAGAAGGAATTTGTGAAATGTACGACTGAGCATGGAGTGTCTGTAAGAAGAAGTAGTAGTGAACTGCTTATACCATGTCTCTGTCGATGACCTGTTGATAACAGAAAGTTGCAAGAAGGAGATCGAAGACTTCAAACATATCTTGAGTGAGGAGTTTGAAATGTCAGACTTGGGAAATCTCTCATATTTCCTTGGCATCGAATTCTACAAGAGTAGTAGAGGATTGATGATGCACCAAAGAAGATATGCAGGTGAAATACTCAAGAGATTTGAGATGCAAGATTGCAACCCAACTTCGACTCCTGCTAAGATCAGATTGCAACTGTCGAAGCATTCAGATGAAGATGATGTCGACCTAACCCAATATAGAAGATTTATTGTGTCACTTCAGTATTTTTGTCACATAAGGCCTGATTTAGCATACAGTGTGGGTATGGTAAGTAGATTCATGCAGAAGGCAAAGGTATCACACCTAGAAGCAGCGAAGAGGATACTAAGGTATCTGAAAAGGGACTCTTGACTATGTCATTTTGTTTCCTGCAGCTGATGAAGGAAAATAATGCAAGTTAGTAGGATACACCAACTCTAATTGGTGTAATGATGATGAGGATA